ATATAGTCCGATCCATAATAAACCGCTGTCGAGAATTTCACCATAGCCGGCAAACACATTCGAATAACTTAAAACGTTTTTTACATTCGAATAACTTAAAATGTTTTTTACGGCTTTTCGAACTAATTATTTACTTATACATTTTCGAAATAGGTGCTTATTGTCCAGCAAGAAACGGAACCCATTTTCGAGAATTTGCAGGTATATCTATCTCCCTCGCAATCCGAATGTATGTATGCATGTATGTATGTATGTATGTATGTATGTATGTATGTATGTATGTATGTATGTATGTATTTGTTAATTAAAACACTCGATAAATGAACAACGAAGAAGAATTAATGCGTAATACAGAACCGATATACTCTGACATTTGTTCGTAAGCAAGGGTAACGAAGGAACCCGCAACCAACCATATAAGTGCATTGAGCAAACCTACACTCTCGTATAACAGCTTGCAAACCATACGAGAGACGTAAACCAAACTCTCGTATACTGCTTAATAATGATCCCGGAAAAAAAAAAAAATTCGGGTAAGGAAGTAAGCAACTCCGAAGTAATCGAAACTTATAATGCACTGACCTTCAACATGGCCTGTTTGTCTCAAATCTGCAAAGATGTCTATATATTCAGGTTTGTTATAATTAGAATTAATTATTTTTAGGTGATATTTTTAATTCCACCATCAATTGCAGAGTTACATTTTCTCCTACTTCTCTTTCATTCTCTGCTATAAATACCCCGAGAAACCCGAATGCAATATTCATTGATCACAAAAGCAAATCGACGATACCTCATTAATCAAATAAATAGATACATTTCTTTTTTTTGTGTGTGTGAAATTAGCTATGGCTAAGGTGATTGGATGTTCCGTAATGATAATCACAATTTGGTTGGTGGCGATCGCAGCTCCGGTGGCTGAGGTGGAATCGTCCGCCATCACGTGCGGCGGAGTTCTGACGAGTGTCACTTCATGCATAGGCTACGTCTAAAGAGGCGGGGCGGTGACAACTGGCTGCTGCGACGGTCTGAAATCGTTGAACAACGCAGCCAGCACAACACCTGAGTTACAAGCCGCATGCAGGTGCCTCACGGCACTTATCCCAAGCGTTTCCGCTAACCCGAGTTTGATTAACAACCTTCCCGATTTATGCGGCATCCCTTTCCCTTACAGATACAGCGCATCGCTCGACTGTTCCAAGTAGGTTATACGAAGAAGCTACGATATTGATCATATTCCCTTTTAATTGTAAGCATTGAAATATTTGGATTGTCGTATGTCTTTTGTATATTGCAGGTTAACCCGTTAAAAACGACGAGACGTGCAAGAGAGAAGACGAATGTAGTAAATAAAGAAAAGTGAATAAAACGACCATGTACCGGATCATCGAAAGCACCTACTATTCGTCTATGTCTAGAGCTGCTTTCGTTCATGCTTGCTCTTGCTGTTCCGATATCTCTAGTAATTATTATGCATCTACGTAAATTTTTTATCGCCTCTGTGCGTGCTTGTAATAAACGCGTTTTTTTCTTTATGCATTTCGTGTGGGCAACGAAAAATGAAAGGGGTACACGTAAAAAGGCTTACACGATTCCCATCTTCTTTTATTTCTTTCATTCGATCGTTACATTGGAAACTCACCACATCTAACAACAACACGAGAATTAACAACAACATCGTGAAAAAAACCGCCTCAATCTGAAATGTTCCATTTCAAATTTAATCAGCCTTCGCACCTTTTGTAGTGAGCCCGAATCCGAACGGGAACAACGGGTCGTAATGTGGGTCGCCCACATTCATCGGAAGCTGATCGACACTCTTGAACCAAGTGTGCGGCAGTTTGCCACTAAACCCATAATCACCAAACAGAACATCGGCAACACCTTGCCCTTCTGTGCCAGGTAGCCAAGCCGCCACGAGCGCGTCGATCTGGGCAAGGTACGGCCCGATCACAACAGGACGGCCCGTGATTAAAACTACGACGCATTTCACTGAGGCGCACATGTTCTTGATAGTGCTGTAGCCACTCTCAGGTAATGTCAAGTTTAAACTGTCCCCGAACGTCTCTGCGTACGGTGGTTCACCTACCACCACAACGGCATACGAAAACTTGTTCAATTTTAGAAATTTAGAATCTGGATTTTCGTTGAATACAACTTTTGTTTCTGGATGGACTGTATTCTTGACGGCGGTTAGAATTGTGGTACCTGAAAATTTTTAAAAAAAAAAAATCGAGTCTTTGTAAGAGCTTTGGAGAATCATAGACGTGTTTATTGCATTCAACAATTCGATATAACATTAGGGTATTAAATTCAATAAACACAATTAATTATAGATACTACGAGCAACGGCGAAGCCAACATAGTGCATAGAGCTGCGGGGGCCACGGCCCCCACAGTTTCTGCAACGTTTTAGTATTTTACGTAGATATTCGTTATTTTTTTATAATAGTGACCTCTTAGAAAACTATTACGGGACAAGACGAAAATGAAAAAAAAAAAAAAAACGAGCATATTTACCGACTGTTACGTTGCCGGTCTGTCCCTGCCATTGGATTGTCCAGCCACCGCATTGGTTGCCGATATTGTTAGCATGTGAACCCACTACAAGAATCTTCGATGCCTTTTTAGGCAACGGCAAAACCGGTTTATCTGCAGATTTGCCGTTTTTGAGCAGCACAAGTGATTTTCTTACAGCTTCTCTTGCTATTTCTCTATGTTCCTGTAATTATTATTTAAATTAACGGTAACCAAAGATACGATACTAAATTATACTAATCGCTACCCGATGATTGATTACTATTTAACTAACCTTGCTTCCCAGGTGCTTGACCATGCTGTAATCAGCCAGCGGGTGTTCGAATAAACCGATAGTGAATTTCACTCTCAAGATTCTTGCGACTGCGTCGTCGATTCGGCTCATGGGAATGACTTTGTTTTTTACCAACGAGGTTAGTCCGTCGATAAATTCTGTGTAATTGTATGGTACCATGATCTGCATTTTTTTTTTTAATGAGATTATACTCTTGTAAAAAAATATGATATCATCTTGAAAAATAAATGCAACCCACCATGTCGATTCCAGCATTAATTCCGGTTATGATCGAATACGTATAATTAGCATGTTCCGGAGTAGTGATTCTGTCTATCCCCTGCCAGTCTGATATCACAAATCCCTGTAAATAAATTTCCCAATTAACATTTTTTTTTAAATATACCAAAATGATTATTTTTCTTGAATTAGTGATTTGAATTGAAGTTAAAAAGTTTCGATTTTTTTTACTCTGAAACGTAAGGTGTTCTTGAGGAAGACAGTGATGAGGTCGCGATTAGCGTGCATTTTGACTCCGTTCCAACTCGAATACGAGACCATGATTGTGCCCACGCCTTTGATAATCGAGTCGTAATAGGCCGGCATGTGAATACTAAGCAATCCATGCCTGGTTGCCAATGTGTTGTTCTCATTCATACCCTTTGTCGTTCCACCATCGCCCACAAAATGCTTGGCTGTAGCTAAAACCTTTTCCCTAGATAAATAAAAAATGCAAATCCAGTAAATAATATGCTCTCTCTCTCTCTCTCTCTCTCTCTCTCTCTCTCTCTCTCTCTCTCTCTCTCTCTCTCTCTCTCTCTCTCTCTCTCTCTCTCTCTCTCTCTCTCTCTCTCTCTCTCTCTCGTGTTTAGTGGACTTATGGTCCATATCACTAGCCAGTCTGGTTATTCTTCTTGATTAAATCCTAGTTGTTTCTACTTTTCTATATTATAACAAGATCAAAAAGAAGATAAATTCGAAACTTACTGTCCAGCTAGAAACGGAACGCCCTTTCGAGAATTAGAAGGAATTTCTCCTTGTAAACCAGATATAATCTCAGTCATTGATCGAACCACCTTCGGATCTTCGCTGTAACTTTCATAACAACGACCCCATCTCGGATCTCTACAAACCTGCGTATACGGTAAAAACAAATCTGGTAATAATCCAATTTCCAAACACTAAAACCGACTACTATCCGTATATAGATATACGTATACAAATAATACAGTTGAACTAACCGCAATGCAAGGTGCGAAAACGTAAGGAATCCCGGTAGCTCTAACTTCAAGAGCAGTTGCAGCACCGATTCTCTTCACCAACTCAGGATCTCTGTACATTCATTAATGTTCTCGATTAAATTTCAAGCGTGCGTAATTAACCTTAATCAAAATCAAGATTGTGTACACTTGCCTAGTAGCTCCAAGGCCGACATTGTGAGGAAAGATCGTGGCTTTGTAAACCCCGTTATGCCCGTGGACCGCATCGATACCGTAAAGCATGGGAATCTTAAGACGGGTCGATAAAGATCCCTTTTGGTAACCGTTGACCATGTCAACCCACGTCTCGGGAGATGCTGTTGGAGAAGGAACACTTCCTCCACCACTCAATACACTACCTACACAAAAATAAAAATAAAATAAAAAAAAAAATCAAAAAATCGAGGCACTCGAAGAATTATACTACAGAAATTAATAAACATCAAAAATTTTGTTCTCTTTAAATTTACCTATGTAGTACTTCTTCAAGACTTCGGCTGACGTGACGAGTTTATCGATTTGTGTCATTTGGCCTACCTTTTCCTCTAGTGTCATTCTGCTTAAGAGGTCTTTTACTCTCTTGTTTATCGGTTTTTTGGGATCTTGATATGTTTTATACTCTGCATTTGCCACTACTGCTATCGAACAACAGAGCGCCAAAATCCCGATAAAAAACGGAGGCGCCTTAGCCATTTTTTTTCGTCGGTTATCGCCTTCACATTGCACAAGAGACAAAGAAAAAAAAAAAAAAAAAAAAAAATCTTTAACCATAACTCCAAACTAATGTTCAACTTCCATCAACATATTTCAGTTCAAATATTATATATATCTGCATTTATATATTGATGTTCGAAACTAGAAGTAAATGATGCAGTGGAGTTTGATCAGGTTACGATAGTTGCTAAATATGTATGGATTTAGCTGACTGAGGCATTTATACAAACACATAGCTGCATATAATCATAGGACTCAAGTACATACTTAAAACAGACAGAAAAAAGAGAATCATAGGAAGCTGACACAAGTTCATAGGATTTAGTTGCATTAGCAGAGCTCGAAAGTATAAGTGGAGAAAAGATAAAAACAAGAAAATGGAGGAAACTTACAGTGACACTACCACACAGCTCACTGATCTCTGCTTTTCTTGAGAGAGAGAGAGATTTGTTCTCAACTTGGATGGAACAGAATTGGTATATATAGAGAAATCTGTTTCAACTTCCATTTTTTTTTCTTGTTTATTTATTTATTTTACCCTCCCTCTCTCTCTCTCTCTCTCTAATAAAAGACTGCAGTTTCTTTGACTAAGATTTGATTTCTTTTGGAACTACATAGAACTAAAATTCCTTCTATATGACTTTTCAAATTTTAATGTAACAAACATTTATGTAAGTATGTATAAATGAAATGATAAATATTACATTTGGTGTGCTAAATTTACTCTTGCATGCAGAATTACATTTATGTTGATTTAATATGAAATTTTAGATAAACTTGCATAAATTACGGTCAACCTATGAGTTAAGGTCAAATAATGAAAATACCCCTCAGGGTAATTACAATGACCCATCAATTACGAATCTTCTTACAAGAATATCCTTGCAGTGTCAAATTTAGTGGAATCTTCTAGATTATTTAGAATATTCTCCAGTTTGTACCCGTTTTACCCCATTCGAGCTCTACATTTTGGAACAAGGTGATCATAAGATGTGTCTCTTGGCTTGTAAATATCAGATTGTGGTAAATTAGAAACTGCATTTTTGCACAAAACGAGTACAAACTAGACAACATTACAGGAAATTTAAGAGATTTTGTTGAATTTAACATCATAAAGGTGTACGTGTAAGAAAATTCATAGTTAATTGATGATTGTAATTACTCCAACAAGATGAGTTTTTTTCTCTCGGTAATTTGACCTAACCTCGTGGAGTTGGTCGTAATTTATCCTTCATTTAAAAAGAGAATCTAAAAAAATAATAGATATTGTAAGAAAATATAAATGATTGAAACTATAGAAATGATAAATATGGATAAGTGGGCCCCCGACCACTACAGCTCGTGTGAGCCACCTCTATAAGTTGTTAGCCCCACTAGCACCGACCGATGCCATTTTATTCATTATTGTTTATTTATTTAATATTTTTTTATTATTTATTTGGTCAATTTGTCAAAATTTCTTTCAAAATATCATCACAATGGTCAAATAAATATTAAATATTATTAGAAATTTTGAAAAGAATAGAAACAAAATTCGATTTACAGCAAAAGAGGGATTTTTATTTTAGATTTCAGCTGCCTTTTGCTGACCTTTCCTTGCAAGATATTTTCCCACACACAATATCAATAATTGAAATTGGGGTCTCGAAAAAACAATTAATTTCATCAAGTCTCTGTATCTAACTAAATCAGGATTTTTATTATTTATCAATGGATTATTATTTAAAAATTTATAATTTTAAACTTGTTTACATATTGTAAGGAATAGGTTGTTATAAATAATAACACTTGGAATCAATAAAACTTAAATAAAAATCTATTTTAATATACAAGAAAATATCTTATATATAAAAGAAAGAAACGCTGGACAACCCTTAAAAGCCCTAATGGTATTTTAGTAATTAATTTTTTATATATAAAAGAAAGAAACGTTGGACAACCCTAAAAAACCCTAATGGTATTTTAGTAATCAATTTTTTTTTCTCTACTAATTTCTAACTATCATTTTTAACAATTATCAACATTGAAACTAAACCGAGAAGAATCCTACCCTAATGGTACTTCTGTAATTATTTATTTTTAATATTTTTTTTTCTACTAATTTTGAACAATTATCAATCTCCTATTTTTCATCAATATATCTCAAATCTTAAGAGATAAAGATAAAAATTCGATTTCTTAAAATCTTAACCTATATATTTGGATTGTAATTCTTAATATGTAAGATTTAAAAAAACTAATGTTATATAAAATTTGAATAATACCACATTATTAAATTTTACTATGTTAGTGTACTAAATTTTCTTATTATCTATTAAATTGATTTTTTTTTTCACTTTTGAAATAATATCCCGTGCATCGCACGGGGAAAAAAACACTAGTTATCAATAATACATAAAACTTAAAAATCAAATTAGCTTAGGTTTTCGAAAGCCGACGAGTTCGAGCCCTCCAAATATTTAGGCTTGAATCCGAGATCATATAAATTTACTTAAACTCGAGCGAACTCAGCTCAAACTCGACTTTTTTTTTTTTTTGAAGAGAGCTCAAACTCGACTCGTTTACACCTCTAATTAAAAATTATTCTTTCGATTATTTATCCGGACCAACATCTGAATTAATCAAAGATTTTTTTGTCAGGAGAGTCCAACATATCTATAATTTTAAAATACAACATGCATCTGATTGAACAAAATTAATGCTGAAAAAAATTAAACTAACAGTCTTAATTAAAAACAACAAAATTAATGCATAGTTGATTAGCACGATAATGAGTCAGTTTCAACATTTAAAAATCATTTATAATAAACTATAAACCATATAAAAATAGAGAAAAATAAAATAAAATAAATCGTAATCTTCACCATATCGAATCTTCCAGCTAATTAACACAATTTTTATTTGATTTCAATTAGCATATCTTCCTACACATGATACTAGTAAACACATGATTTCAATTTTTATTTGATTTTAATTTTAATTAACTCATCCCTTCACACCTTTTGTAGTAAGCCCGAACCCGAACGGGAACAACGGGTCGTAATGCGGGTCGCCCACATTCATCGGAAGCTGGTCGACACTCTTAAACCAAGTTCTCGACAATTTACCACTAAACCCGTAGTCACCAAACAAAACATCAGCCACACCTTGTCCTTCAGTGCCAGGTAGCCAAGCGGCCACAAGCCCGTCAATTTGCCCGAGATAAGGCCCGATCACAATCGGACGGCCCGTAATCAAAACCACCACACATTTCACCGATCCGCACACATTTGTAATAGTACTATATCCACTCTCGGGCAATGTCAAGTTTAAATTATCCCCGTACCCCTCCGCATACGGGGACTCCCCCACTACCACAATCGCGTAAGAAAACTCGTTCGATTTCACATATTCGATATCTGGTTTTTCAACGAAAACCACTTCCATTGTAGGGTCCACGGCGTTCTTCACTGCATTGAGAATCGTGGTACCTGATAAAAAAAATGCCATTTTTTTTATCAGTGGCAGAGCCAGCATAGGACAGCGAGCCCGGCCCCCATAACCCCCTCACCATTTTATAAAAAAAAAATAGAAACTTGTTATTTTTCATAATTTTACCAAATGTGATGTTCCCACTTTGCCCTTGCCATTGAATAGTCCAGCCGCCGCACTGGTTGCCGATATCGTCGGCGTGCGTCCCTGCAACAAGCACTTTCGACGCTTTCTTGGGAAGCGGTATCAATGGCTTGTCCGAAGATTTTCCGTTTTTCAGCAACACGAGCGATTTTCTCACCGCTTCTCTCGCTAGTTCTCTATGCTCCTGTCGAAAATTAATTCCACGATAAGTTGACGATTTTTCTTTTTTTTTTTTAAATAAATGTATATATTACAACAACTTAAAATTAAATAAGTACTTTTACAAACTAATTACCTGGCTGCCCAAGTACTTAGTCATGCTATAATCAGCTAGAGGATTCTCAAACAAGCCCATTGTGAACTTAACTCTTAGTATTCTTATTACAGCATCATCAATTCTGCTCATGGGAATAAACTTCTTTTTCACCAAAAAAGTTAATCCATCAATGAATTCTGTGTAATTGTATGGTATCATGATCTGTATAACATAATCAAGTAATTAATTAGATATCAATTAATTAAGAAAAAATAATTATATATAAATAATCGTGCAACCATGTCAATGCCGGCTCCAACTCCAGCTAGAATCGAGTACGTATAGTTAGCGTGGGGCGGAGTCGTAATATGGTCAATGCCCTCGAAATCGGAGATCACAAATCCCTAACATAGTATGTCACGAAACGTTAGCAAAAAACGAATGTCTTATAAATATTGAAAAAGTCGATTTTTTTTTATTTTACTCGGAAACGTAGCGTATTCTTAAGGTAGCCGGTGATTAGATCGCGATTAGCATGCATCTTAACCCCGTTGAAGCTTGAATACGAGATCATTATAGTGGCAACGCCCTTAACTATCGAATCGTTGTAGGGTGGCATATGAATACTAAGTAAACCACGGTTACTTATAACGGTATCGTTTTGATTGATGCCTTTCGTAGTTCCACCGTCGCCTACGTAGTGTTTGGCGCACGCTACAACCTTTTCTCTGCGTAAAATGATTTACGAAAAAATAAATAATATACAAAAAATTAATCACATAGTAATTTAATTTAATTACTTACTTTCCACTAATATAAGGAACACCTTTAGTAGAATTAGCAGGTATATCTCCTTGTAATCCAGGTATAATTTCGGTCATTGCTCGAACAACGCTCGTATCTTCACTATAGCTCTCGTAACACCTCCCCCATCTTGGATCTCGGCAAACCTTCTCGCCATGAAATAAAAAATAATGAAATAAATAAATTATTAAATGTTTATAATTCTTGTAAGAATTTTAAAAAATTGTAGTGACTATAGAAACTAGGATTTATTAATTACTACCGCAACGCAAGGTGCAAAAGTGTAAGGAATGCCGGTTGCTCTGAGCTCGAGAGCAGTTGCAGCTCCGATTTTCTTCACCAATTCGGGATCTCTAATTAAAAAAAAAAAAAAAGAGCATATATATCAATATAATCTTGAAAATGTATCTTTTAATTAAAAATTAGTACATGCTCGATTTTTCGAATTACTACATATATGTGAGTTGTGAGTTGTGACAATTAATTACCTAGTAGCTCCGAGGCCGATATTGTGTGGGAAAACGGTAGCTTTGTAAACGCCGTTATGACCATGAACCGCATCAATCCCGTAAATCATCGGTATGCCTAAACGGGTCGATAAAGCCCCGTTTTGGAAATTATTCACCATATCGACCCATTTTTCGGGCGGCGCTTTCGGTGACGGAGCGCTACCTCCACCACCCAATACACTTCCTGCATTTAATTAAATTTGCATTATATTATACAACATATATAAATACTCAAAAAAAAAAAAAAAAAAAATGATGTGATATTAGACCTATGTAGTACTTGTTGATGACGTCACGTGATGCCACAGTTCTTTCAATTTGCACCATTTGGCCTATCTTTTCCTCTAGGGTCATTCTTGCTAAGAGGTCTTTAATTCTTCGGTTTATCGGCATTTTCGGGTCTTTGTACAACGCTTTGTACTCTGCGGCGTCCGCCGCGGCTAACAAGCAACAAGAAACGAGAAGAGCGACTACGAAAGATTGGCGTTTCGCCATTTTATAATTCGGGCTCGAATTCGCCTGCATTGAGTAAAGATTATCTTTGCAAAGTGTTTTTTGTAAGTGAACAAATAAATTTTCTTTTGTTGATTGTGATTTTCAGACAGATGTTCACGAGTGGCTCATAAAATTTAATTATGGGCCATAAACTCACATGAATCACAAGAAAGTGTCTGTTGTAGTTTCTTGAAAAAAGGTGAAAAATAACCAAACGCTTCAGTACTTGATCGACATGTGGTGGAAATGATCACGTGTTTAATGTTTTTTGTCCAACCAAGAATCAAATAATATCAATAAAGATTGCCCGAAAATCCTAACACACACACTAGAGTTAATACTAGGGCCGGGACTCGGTCGGTTTTTACCCGGCAACCAGGGGATAGTAATTTTTTAACAGACCCATTGAATCATGTCGAAATTTTTGACCATCCCATCTATAATAGGTTAGTTGATGATTTTTAATATTATTTAAATTCAGTTAACTGACAATTATCGGTCAACCAATTATATTAATAAATTTTTATTAAAAAATTATAAAACAAAGAGTGTAGTTTTTTTTTTTTTTTAAAGTGGATATGGAATATCAAAATAGTTAGAATTTTTAAATTAAACAAAAAAAATCAAGGAGGAAAAAAAGTTGGACATAAATCTTTCATCAGAAATTGAGAATGTGCATGTTTGGAATTAGTTTGAATTTTAGAATTATATTTTTTTTGAATTGCTATTAATTATTTTAAATTAATAAATGATCATGGCTAGCGGCACTAGGCAAAATGTGCATATTTTTTCTTCAAAACTTTATTTTTTTAAAGTAAACTATGTGGAGGATTTACCCATCAACCGACTAATTTCACAACCAAATATTCAGTTGTCAATCATCAATCGACCAAAAAATGTTAGGTCGACAATTGTTTTCAAATTTGAGCAAAATTGATTTGTCGGATGGATCGGTTCTTAGGCCGGTAATCGATTGACCCAACCCAGTCGCATCTTTAATTTGTTGGAGGATCCAATCGTTCGTTTGCTTTGCTTTGCGAGTGATTGCCCTCGACTCAAGCCCAACTCCATTTACTTCACCGACCATAATGTACATTATCGTCGTCCGTACCATGGGGATTACGATGATGTATTATATGAACAATGTGGTGGACGGATTAATACGAGTATTATATATTAGGGGTAGAAATCGGACAAATTGGCACTTTGAAATTTTTCCATATATATAAAACCATTGCTTCTTAAATAAAGAGCATACAAATTTTATGTAATAATAAGTATATAACTATGTATAACATTCATAATTATTGAGCTACATCATTCTGTCGGAAAGCGAAGGCAGCCTCCGGAAGAAGTTGAGAGCCGGCGACGGCATCCGATCCCTAAATATCGGATGCCTCAAGTAATAGAACCCCAACGCCACAGACACCATCTTCGACGGAACCAAGTACAACACAAAAGCCACCACAAGGCACAAACCGACAAAGATCCCCGTGGCACGCGGGTCCCGCCACGTCACCAGCGCCTGCATCCGCTCGCCTTGCGTGGCGAAATCCCCCAACACCGCCTGCACACGGGCCCCCAAAACCCGTAGCTTATCGTACCGGGCCCGCACCGTCTCGTTGGGCCCAGCGCACGGCATGGAATCGAACTCTTCGTCCAGTTCATCACGGTCAACGGACTCCGCCAGAGACATTTTCGTGTCGAAATGGGGTAGTGGGGTCCGGGGTCGGAGCCTGTAGTTCCAGGCTCCGATAGCGAACGCGTAGAGCGCGAGTGTGGGGACGATCAGGTCCGGGACCCACACGAGTGTCGCCAGCAGGGCGTGCGCGAGGATTGTGGCCGTCGGGTTCCTCCAGGAGCGTGTGTCGTCCGCCCACTTGAACACGTCGATCACGGTTGAAATAACGTTGATTATTCTCATCCAGTTGGCACGGACCTTGCGCATGCTGAACGCGTGGGAGTCCGCGTCCAGCATGTGGGCCACCACCTCGCGGCGGAGCGGCGGCTCCGACCGGGACAGGTGGGCCGCCACCGTCTTTACGGCAACCGCCCTCAGAGCCTCTTGTTGAACCATCCCTAGTGGCTTCAAATGGTGCATCATAGGCAACAAGGGCTGCGAATACACGTGCAAGAAATCGAGCGTCGGGGTCGCACGTGCGAACCGAACAGCCAATTCAATCTCACCCATTTTCTTCAAACCGGTTTGGGACAACAAGATCAACGGGAACACACTTTTGTACACTTTACCGGTAGTCAAAGTCGATATCCTAATACGCACTTTTCCTATTCGAAAATCGGGCTTATGAGAGCCGTCCGATTCGAATACTTCCCAACTATCAAACACTCCGACGGTCAACACCGTGGACGGATCGTAGACCCGCCACGTGTACTGCTCGTTCCATCTCGGGTTCAAACTATCGGAAACTGCTCGAGTGCGGACCCACTTGTCGCCGTATTTCGCCACCGCGTAGGCGTCGGTGGAGCCTTTGCCGCCGTTGATTGTCTTCATCGGCAATAAATTCTTGCACCCTATGATCCCGAGCTCGACCGTGCCGACGGGCGGTTTCCAGAGCTGCCTCGCGGTGGGGCGGTAATCGCTGCACACGTGGGCCCCCTCGTCCATCACGTGGTACCCACCGTCGAAGCACAGCCTCAGGTGGACCCTACCTTTGTAGACCCGCTTATCTTCTTTCGGATCCTCCAGAGTGAACCATCTCGACGCTACATTCCGGTCGTCCACGCGCCGCTCTATGGACGCGAGTGGCACTGTAGCGACGCCCAAAATGACCTGCTCCTTCGGTGGCCGGTTTTCCATCAGGTAAATTACGAGGCTGTGCTCCGTGAAGGGCTCCGCCGCGACGAACATGAGATCCTCGTTCCAGGACGGCGAACCGGTGGCTGTAAGAACCGGTTTCGTTTTCTGAACCTGGAACCCTAGTTGGGTTTTGACTTGAAAGCACGATTCTCGGAAGGGCATTTTCATGGAGATATCCTGCGCTTCTATAATCGTCGATCTGAGGTACCACAATTTAGGCGATTGGTACACCTTAGATCTGGAATTCGGATTGCCTACATCGTCGGTCTTCCAGGCGTCGGGAAACGATTCGTCGGCCTGGGTGCCTATCCACGTGGCGAGCATGAGGTCACCTCTGTGGGCCCCACCACCTTCGAGGCGGTACCACTGTGGGGCCAGCGGGCTGTCCGGCGGGTCCCGCAGGGGGATCTCGCCGACGTCGAAGCAGATTCCGCCGAGGAAACCCTGACCACTGGGCCGATCCGAAACGGATACTTCGAGTATGGTGGAGGAATCTGGTGAATCGCGGCTGAAGGCGAATGTTTGGTCCCAGTCGAAGAACGCCGTTTTCCGAGCTGGCTTTGAGGTGACGTGGCGGCCGGAGACGGCCACCTCCACGACGGGGCTGCCGGCGGTGGGGAGGTGTCGGGCCTTCACCACCCGGACGAAGAGGTAATGCATTTTCTCGACTAGATCGAACGAGGACCGTTCGATTGACGATCTGTCGGATTGATCGGACGGTGAAAAACTGCTCACTGACGAAACACGGCTGATTGGCTGGGGCCCGCTGATGCTGTTGACTTTGACTTCAGCTGGTACTGTAGATACTGATGACATCATCACTTGATCCGAGTCAGCTTGTTTTTCATTTCCAGGTGCTGGATTAATTTCCTTAGGGGGTGGTGCTACTGCTTCAGCCGCCGGCGCAGGCGGCGCGGGCGGTGGTTCTTCATTCGGCTTCTCGCCGGAATCTGCCGGAGGAGCTGGTGAAGCCGCTTCGTTATTTTTAGGTTCAGCGGCGGGGGGATCAGAAGCTGGTGGTGGCGCTGCTGACTCGGAAGATGGGGGTGAAGGTTCGACGGCGGCGGGTGGTGTTGGCTCAGGTTTAACCTCCTCCGCCGGAGGAGGAGGCGGCACAATCTCATCGGAAAAGTAAATTTTTAGACCGATTTCGCCCTGTATCCAAGTGAAGAAACTCTTCTTCTCCAATGGGTAATATATCAAGGCCTCCTCGCCTTTCTTGACGAACTGCCGGGAATTCAGCTTCACGCGGCCGAGAAAATTGTTCCTAGTGGTGGGCCCCACGTTTTTGTCGTGGAAAACATCGATCTCAAGCATGTCACCGAACACCTCCGATGTTTTCCCGGCGTTGAAATCCAAGGTCTCGTGCCACGTAGGATTAAGGTCACGAACCGCCGTCCTGGTCTTCCGCCGTTGACCGTGGAAGTCAAGAATCGCGTAGGGACTCGATGTGCCATAACCGTCTTTCGGTAGAAGATTCCGCGCGTCAACAACCTCAACTACAAGCTTCCGAACAATAGCCATTACAATATTGATATATATATAGATATATAATAAACGTACTACAATCAAGAAATGGTGGATCGATGCTCACATTATAAGAATTAATGGGGTTGATGAAAATGGAAGGAAGAAGAGAGATTTGAATTGGTAGAGAGAAAGATGAGTTATAGGAGTGAATTGGAATTAGGGTTAAAGTGAAAAGGTGCTACATTACTTAATGTGCAAGAGATGCCTTTTATGCCACTCCAAACTCACAGTAGTATTTCTTGGTATTGCTTTATTTTGTTAATAAGATAATAAGGGTAAATTACGGCCACTTCTTGAGTCGATATCAAATTACGAAAAAATCCAGTCCTTCATTTATGAATTTTCTTACACGTCTAGCTTTGTAGGGTTGAATTCAATATAATTTTCTAGATTTCGTGGAATGTTTTCCAGTTTGTACTTATATTTACAAGTCAAGATACACATTTTATGATTATCTTGTTTCAAAATGTGGAGCTGGAATGTGGTAAAATGGGTACAAACTAGAGAATATTTCATCTAATTTAGAAGATTCCACTAAATTTGACATTGTAACGATGGACGTGTAAGAAGATTCACAGTTAATGAATAGTTGTAATTACCTAAACATAAAAAAAAATTCCATAATTTATCATTATCTCGAGGTGGCCCTAAGATAATAAATATCTTTCTTTTCAGACAAAGATTCCTTCTACTTTTTTATTTTTTAATTAATTGGGAATTTCGTGATGGGCATATTAATTATATATTAGTTATTGAGGGTAGTTAAATAAAAGATAATTAGCAAGCAAATTTCAGTATTACATTCCTTGTCAGAAGATGAAGCTGGTTTATGGTGGTGACGTGGGATTTGGCTGTAAAGATTCGATGATGGATTGGTAATTTGAGCAAGGATGGACACTTGTCCAACGGTGAGTGGTTCACTTTTGAGAAAAAAGATTGAAGGAGCATCCTCTTTTTTGGTTTTTCCAACCGACCACGTTTACTAGACCATATGCTCTCCTTTTTTAACTTTCTGACTCGGTATATACTCTATAATCCATTATCATTATACTTTGATTGACAATTGAAGTAAACTTTTCTGATCTTGTATCACTCTTTTTGAATGCGTTGAACGGGAACATGTGGGTAGATTAGTACTGTATACGGGAGGTGATGTATGTGTTGAAGCCTCTGAGCGAGCCGAGGGACGTTTACGTCTTAAAATTTCTAAAATGAGAACACGTGAACTAAGTCGAGGTGGCTCCAGCAGAGACCTTTCGAATGACGTCGACGCTCAGTTAGGTATCTAGACAAAATGAAGAGTAGGTCACACAAATTCTACGTAGCTCAAGTGAACTATTATTATAGTTCCCTTGCTATTAAGTTTCGGAGGTTCAGGCCCAAAGTAGAGAATAATTAATTTGTTAGTTGAATGAGCCAACTTAGAGGGTGTTTGGCTAAGCTTATAAGATGTTAAAAGGAACTTATAAGATGTTTTAGAGCTTATAAGCTCTTCCAAAGTGTTTGGTAATTTTTTAAATAAAGATCTTAATTTTTTTTAAAATAAGCTGTTGGAGAGCAAATAAGATCTTTTTAAATAAGTACCTCTACCCCACCTTTTTATTTAAGATCTTATAATTAATAAAAATAGGAAATAAGTTCTTTATCCAAACACTTTAAAAATTAATCATAAAAATAAGATGTAACAGCTTATCAGCTCTAAAAACATCTTATCAGACGTAAGAGCTTATCAGCTGTTTAAAATAAGTTTAGCCAAACACCCTCTTAGTATTGCTTTACCAAATAATACAACCAATCAATTGTTCTTTTGTGTACTCTTATCAATTTTCACCCGAGTGGTACACATAAATTGATAATATTGAACGTTATATTTTATCCAATCATACCCAAGTTCGGAATTATTGAAATTCGGTACAAGGCAAAAGTTAATAGAGCCGTAGTAATGAATTTCATTGAATCAAAATTTGTGTTAATGATCGATAATAGTACGACAAATTTGGTATAGTAAGTGTATCAAACTGTTGATGAAAGACTATTATTGGCGTACTTTTTTTTTTAGACATACTTTTATGTTGATTACTTGTTCAAGAGTTGAGGCGTTTTACTACAATACTAAGGTGATGTTTGTAAAAGTTTTTAAGGGTAAAAAATATTTTTATGTTTGATAGAAAGTCGTTCGGCCAATTATGCCCTTATTATTTTTTTATCTAAATTAGCTTTGTATTAGAATATTTAAGGTATTTTACGAAATTGTACTAAAAATTAAGGTTTGTTTGGAAACACTCTGTAATTCTAGATTAGCTGATTAAGGTGATGTTTGCAAAAGTTTATTCAAAAGCAAAAGTTATGTATCGTGAGTTAAGTGAGTATTAAGTGCGTACTTTTAAAAGTTGAGGGTGTTTACAAATATGCTGAAAATTCAACTTACACTGAAAGAAGCAAAAGTAAAAGCTGATTTTGCAAACACCTAAAAACATATTGTGAGCAAAAAAAAAAAAAAAAACTCAGAAATTGTTTCTAAAAGCTTTTGCAAACACCATCTAAGTTTTCTTTAGGATGTTTGCAAAAATTCCGACTTTTGAAAATAAGCAATAACCTCAAACTTATTCACAATCACTAACAAAAGTTTTGATTGATATTGTTTAAGCAAATAAAGTACTTTAAAAACCATGCACACATCTACATCTCTTCTAACCTTTAGGAAAAAGATATAACAATATAGAAAGTTTTTTTGCAAGAGAAAAATTAATTCTAGCACACACACACACACACACACACACACACACACATATAGAAACAGTTAAACGTATGTATATGTAGTAAGAAATACGTGTTTAGTGTTGTGGGAATCGGGGCGTGAGGAATGAAGCCTGGTCCGAGATCATATTCAATGATGAGATTGGAACAATGGATCTTGGAACAGCCTCCATTCCGAACGCCCCTTTCCTCTCTCTCTAGATTTCTCTCTCTCTCTCTCTCTCTCTCTCTCTCTCTCTAGGTAAGTGATTGAGCAATGATCAAAGCCTACATTGTAAGCCTATAACATATATAACAAGAAAATCACAATATATATTTCTACTATATTTACATGATTGCACGGCAAAAGCAAAGTAGTAGTGGGAAGAAAATGTGGGATACCTAATATATATATATATATATATATATATATATATATATATATATATATATATATATATATATCTTCAATCACATGATTGACAGTTCATTTGATGCGTAAATAATGAAAAAGCTGCTGCTCTTTTGGAGTCATCCTCTTGTCTTATTCTCGGCTGCACCTCTGTCTCACACTCACTCTCAGTCACTCTGTCTCTATCTGTGTGTGTGTGTGTGTGTGTGTGTGGTCTCACACTGAAGAAATAGTTACATTTAATTTACTTATTGACAAGAAAAAATGTGACAAAGGAGAAGTATCTGTGTATTATCTATTGTGACATAGGAGAAGCATCTATTGTTATTTACAAAAAGCCGTATTGAATCAACTTATGGCTCGAAAATTTCGTCGCGTTAACAAATAATAAGCATATCATACAACACATCAAAACGACTAACTTAAGGCGCAAAGGGCTAACACTACATTCTCAAGCCTTCCCCAGTACTACAGATTTCGTCGTAAATCAGTTAGTCACAATCTATAAACAAACGAAAAAAAGAAAATGTTTTATTGTATTCGTCAAGATTTTTTGAAGGAATCGCGGGGAGATGCCCCCGTTATTAAGGCCTATCATACACAAGATCATTTCAAATAAACATTGATCAACTGTACAAATGCCAATTTACAACGAAATGCTAACTAAAAAAGTTGTAAGAAACAACTCCAAATGTTACCATGTTACCGCCGCCGCTTGCCCTCTTACTACGATTGGTTCTTTACAATTCTGACATTGCTGTAGAAGCGCTTGAGGTCCTTGATAGCCTTCTCCTCAATCTGAATCGAACGGATTGATGAGGGAGCATCGATCTCCGGCTTGAACCATCGGTTCATCCCACTGGATTCAGATGGTGATCCCTGACCAGTCATTACAGAGAATCCAGTGGTTCTCGTTTTTGGGCTATGTGATATACTCTGGTGTTGCTTTCCCTGAAAAGAATTATACCCCTCGTATTTTTCAGCGAGCAAAAAAATTAATAACTGTAAGCTCAAATTTAGGGTTTGCTATTGTGGCCTAAATAATTACTGCTATAAAACATAGGCAGCAAACCTGTTGCAATTGGATGTCCTTGAGAGATGGACGAGAAAGGGAAGGTGGAGTGACGGAGGCAGTCCATGGAGGCGTGTTCTTATCACCGTCCGACACCTGTCCCTTCCGAGTGGGGACCACACCTACTGGAGGAGAATGCAAAAACGAACTCAATGGGATTTTCCCGCCAATATTATTATTCCCTTCAAACAAGTCTTCGACTTCTTTTTTTCTGGTAGGCTTAGTCTCGGTTTTGCTCTGCTCATCCTGTATATGACGAAGGGAGCTCAATCCTTGTGAAACTTTAGCACCACCCCAAGCGGGGCTCTCACTTTTGGGTACCACCACAGGTGGTGGGGTCACACTTTTTGGGATGTCATCGAGGGCCCCACTTAGAAACATCGAAAGCCCGCCTTTTCTGTTCTTTTTCTTGGATGTTGTGGGCGAAGCAGTTTTACTATGGGGGGCGTCACCAAATGCCTTGTTATTACTATAAAATGGAGAAACCCTTGATTCTTGAATCTCCGTTACACTTACGGAATCTTTCTCCTGTGGATTTGACAACAAATACAAACAAACAAATTATTCCAAGAATAGAGGCAATAATGCGTCTATACCCCGTAAGTAAGATGTAAGTTATGTTCAAATGAAATAGGAGAAGAAAATTTTATTTCTGCACCTTAATTGTGTCTTCTGGAACTTCAGCTTCAGCATCCAGGAAACCTTTCATAGTGCTTGTTTCGGCATCAACTGCAATATCACTAGGCTCCTCTTCTCCCTTTTGACCTGCCTTCTGTTTGTTCTTTCTTCGTTGCTTTTTAGAAGCCGATGTTTTACTTCCTAATTCCATTACCTGAACAGTTTCGACCGGTGCACCGAGCTCAGCAAGAGAGCTTTCTAATTCCGCCCTCATCCGAAGTTTCGCAATCTGCTGGTCATCGAGAAGTTGACCCTTGGATTGTTTTTCCTCGAGCAGTTCAATCTGCTGCAACTTTTTCCTCAAAGTCCTTATTTGTTTGTTGACACCTTCCATTGCAGTATCGTTGGATTGTAAAAAGCCATCTAACCTCTGTGCTCCCTCTTTTTTGAAAATTTGCCTCTTTTTACCGTTATCACGAGTCCTGAGTAATTCACTCTCACTTTCGTCGTCTTCTTCACTGTTAATAATCGCTGGAAAAGTAGCGGTGGGTGTGGGGAGCCGACGGCAACTCCACGGCTCTGATGACTTTAAGTCTAAAATTTTCTCGAGATGTACCAAAACATCCAATGAAGTGCTAACAAAGGCATGTGCTGAAACGGTAAGTATATAGTCAAGGTTACGGATTGCCATCTCCTGCAACAAGTTTTGGCATCTTTTTAGTAAAGCAGTTTAGTAAAATCAGATTAAAGAACGACGTTTCAAGGGAATGTAACAGGAATACAAATCAGCCATACTAAATAGATATGTATTCAATCTAATACGCATTGTTCTCTTGCAATTAAGCAAAATGCGATCAACTTTTAAACTTTGAATAGCTACTGAATGCATCCATCATTACATATTCAGCAACTTAAAAACAAAGCTAGAGAAGTGATGAGAAACAAAAAGTTGAACAGAATGAGATTGAATAACAACATCACAGCAACAGGATATTCCCTATATGATCAAATTTCAGGGATGCAACTACAGAACAGATGTATCAACACGAAAGGGACGCGTAACAAACCTCGCAGTGTCTCTTGAGATCATCTGCACCCAGCGAATCCGCAATTTCCAGCAGTTGTATAACATTTCGTGGCTCAACCAAATACTCCGCAGCCATTTTCTCACAAAGACTTTTCAAACTCGGTGCACTTCTTTTCTCAGAGGAGTTTCTAAAACCTGGCAGTGCCGGGTTTACAATGCCCTCGTTCTCCATATTAGATAAGACATCCTCAGGCTCCACATCATCAAACATGAAACCTTCACACAATTCATCCAATTCATCTCGGGCCTTAATCTTCCGACCACTGTCAGCAATACTAGGAAGATAGGCTGGATGATAGAGTGTACTGACACTAAGTAGATGTGTTTCTCCAACTGATACAGCAGTTGCCTTCTTCACTCCATCCAACCTAGTCGGGGTAGGTGGATCGTTTTTCACCTTCTTACTATCCCACATATAAATATCACCGTTCACAGTAACTGCAGCAGACCAGTACTTCCCGGCAGAAATGCTGACTATACCTCTCCCACATAGCGTATATAACTACAGGAAAATATCGTCGTTCGTGAATAAGATCCAAGAAGAAAAGATAAGAACAAGAACTTCATAAAGGTTTTCGCTTACCTGACGACATTTAAGATCGGGATCAGAGGAGGCCCAGTAAAACAACGCACCGTCATCTGTAAGAGCTATGCTGTGTGTCGTCCCAGCAGCTATAGCAACCACGTTAAGGCGTTCTTTGCGATGGAATTTCAGCGTACTGTTTCCGATTTTTTTAATATTTCTAGCAATGACAACTCGTTTAGGAGTAACTAGCCGATGACCCCAAGTGAATACCTGCCAACCATTCACTCTGAATATTTCACTTACCAAATTCGAAGATTAATAAATTATAAGTTCTTCTTTTCTCGTACCTCTCCATCAGATCCTAAAACAACAGTGTGATATTTTGCTGCAGAAACTCCGATTAAGGATTTTCCCTTCAAGTATTCCACTACCCTTGGAGTGTAATTTGAAGCTGAGTTAGAGGTGCCGTAGCCAAGCTGTCCCTCTTTATTACAACCCCATGTATATATTTCACCGGCCGCTGAAACTACTGCAGAGTGTTTATTCGCAGCAGCAACAGCTACTATTCTTGCTTTCAAGGAACTAACTCTACGAGGGATTGGTTGAGTATCAACAGAAGTATAGCCAAGTTGCCCCTCTGCAGAATCCAATAGAAAGAGTCAACTGTGTTAAAACCATGACTAAAGACACAATAATTTCTGAACATCATTACATCTAAACAAAATGTGAAACCATTTCTTGAAATTGTCATCATCAACTCCAGATTGCTTACCTCTATTAGAGCCCCAAGTAAATACTTCTCCACCTTCTGTAGCAACAACAGTGTGATGCTTCGCTGCAGCAATAGCCTTAACCCGACGCGCACCTAAACCAGAAGTAATTTGACGAGGAGTGATGACTGCTGCTTGACCACTACAAAATGACAAAAGGTCGCTCGTAAACTTGCATTACTATTTACTCTAAAGGGAAGCATGAACATCTCTGATTTCCAATATTAAAGTAATATACTTTACCAACAGATGAAATGGAAACGTCTTTATCATATGTGCAGTTGATCTAATGAGAGATGCCAAACTGACACGCACTCACCTGTGTATATCGAACTCAGGATGCCCAAGACGGCCCCCTCTTCCGAATCCCCAAGTGTAGACTTCCCCACGTGCACCAACAGCTACACTGTGGAACTTTGCAGCAGAAATCAGTTTGATAAACGAACCATGAAGTGAATCAAGTTTGCATGGTAACTTCTGGATATGCGCATTTCCAGTTCCAAGTTGATAATTAACACCACTGCCCCAACTGAAGACCTCTGTAGCTACTGAAAAATCATAATAACACATTCTTGAATAATACCAAGAACAAACCGATAATTTTCTGTTCCGGAAAATAACTGCATACTTGAATTGTTTTCCTGGCCAACAGACTGCAGCACCGGCCCAGACAAGAGATCAACAGGTGTTCGGGATTTTGAATCCTCCAATGTTACGGAGGCACCGAACTGGAGAAGGACACAAGCAACTGCCAGGTGTCCAAAATGCAGAGCTCTATGAAGGCTACTCCATCCTGATTCCCCATCCTGAAAAGTGGGGAAATTTTCAAATATCAACAAAGCTTAAGATCTTGTATCGCCTCCGACAATATGAAGATGGGCATCTTTCACATGCACATTTTCCCCCCAAATTAAACTGATAAACTATCTACAACACTATATCAGTCATCAAAGCAAGAAATTTATGTGCTGCAAACTTAGTATTGAACAAATCAGAGAATCGAAAAGATCAGAGGCGAAAGCTTACCCTGGCATTAGGGTCTGCACCAGCTTCAAGAAGCCTTCTAACAATAGGTACGTGGTTCCTCCAAGTTGCAATGTGCAGAGGTGTGACCCCAAACGAGTTCCTGACATTAATATTTCCCCCTTTCTTTTTCAGCAAAGTCAAAGTGACGTCTACATCCGAGGCAGACCCCTCCCGCACAACCAACCAGAGATCCTTATTCTGAAGTGCAACTCTACGAGAACTTTGTACAGCATGCTTCTGACATGGAGGCGAAACTAAATCCTCCATTACAAAGTATGATTAAAAACAGTTAAGATGCTATTTAGATCTAGTAATAATGTTACTTGACCCTGAATAAGATATTTAATTACAAAACGGTATGTACAGTTAAGTTATCCTTCCAGGTCTTCCTAGGAACTAATTCAGATCAAGACATTGGTAAAGAGTTCTAACGAATAAAGCTTGTCAATCAAACAGCACCATTCTCCATTTTCTCCCCAAACATAAACCAGCTGCGCACACCAGTCGCCATATATCTTGAAGAAAAATCATTCCCTGCAATTTAGCCCTATATCAATAATTGTAAACAGTCTGGTATTTAACCTTTTTCCATCTTTATTAATTTTCAATTCTTCATAAGATTCTAAAACACGAGATCATCATAGAAGACACGACAGATAGCAAACAGTAAGGACAGATCGCCAGGTAAAAAACAAACTTCGTGACGTATCTCACAGTGTCAGGGAAGTATATATTCAACACCAAAATTAGATCAACCAAATTATTAGTTGCAGGAGGCAAATAATATAACCATACATGGAAGAGAAGGAAATGCACTTCAATAACACAAGTGAAACTAATTAAAGAGAACACAAAAACTACAAAATTGGATCTTTTCATTATCTAATCAATCTTCAAAAGTTGAAGGAGAGAAAAATCTCTCCCATTTAGATGAGTAAACACGTAACAATTGACAATGAAACTCAATATCTCGAAACAACGACTCAGCTTCTCTACATTGGATCAATTTAACCATTAAAAAAACTTCACTCCCTCAGTCGATAACCTAAAAAAATTGAACTGATCTCAACTCTCAACCAATCAAGGCTGAATTGAAATCACATAAACAGACGGTCTCCCCACCCCCACCATAAATCGTTTGCGTAAGATTCACACAAAACAGAAAGGGGGGCGAAAGGACGGTAAGAAATTGAATCCCTAAAACCCAGGAACAACAAAAAACAAACAGATTTACAAATTGAGACCGTATAATTGAGATCAAAATGCTCACCTTGCTTCATTGTAACAAGTATAGAGAAGAATCAATGCCAATGACAAGCATGAGAAAGGGCCTACAAAATCTGCACTATTCTCTCTCTCTCTCTCTAACTGTGTGTATGTTTAGCTGTGTGTGTGTGATGGGGGCCTGGACCGTCTGGTAATTGGTGTAGTTATACATCTAGAGAGAGAAAAATAGGAGTTTCGGAAGAGAGAGGGAATATACCCGAAAATATGCAAATTGAGAAACGGGAGTTGCAGAGAGACAGCTGATCTGTAGAGTTTGAGGGTAATTTGGTAAAATCCATAAATAATCAATAAGACGAAAATGCCCCCCGGATGTTATCGAAATTGACGGGCGAGGGTCTTATTGGGACTCTGCGGCTATGATTTGTTAGCACCGCCACCGCCTCACCATCGGTCGCATCAGACAAATGCTAAAACACCTTTCACCTGTAATGTCGACACGTGGAATCCGGTGTCCTTTCTCATATCCACACCAATGTGGGTGTGTGTGTGTTTGTGTGTATATGAATAGTAAAGATCTACCCGGTGTATTTCACCCGGTGTAGGATCTCAAAAGCCGTTCGTGAACTCACAAATTTGTTCTTCGCTCATTTTTTATTTATTTAATTTTATATTACTTTTTTATCTAAATAATGTATAGTAATATAAATGATGTAAATTATAATAATAATAATATAAAAATTAATATATATATATATATATATATATATATATATATATATATATATATATATATATATATATATATATAGTTCATTATTTATTTTGTTATAATATAAATATTTTTTTAATAATTACAAAATAAAAATAAAAATGAACTTGGGTAAGCTCAATGGACTCAAGTTCAAGCTTGAGTCAGTCAAAACAGCCGAGTATGGCTCGTTCACGTGTTGGTGGTCTAATTCTAGGTTAAGAGTTAAGAGTAATAAAGAGCTTATTACAAAATATCATGGACCTTTTAAGGCTGTCTACGTATCTCACCCAATGGAAAGATGACAAGTCAGCTTAGCGGTTGGCAGTTGACAGTTTATGCAAAAGCACTGGTCTTATTAAGTAGACAATTATTAGACATGCGGGCATGCCTGTGCCCGAATACCAAATCCCAACAGCAAAATCAAAAAAACAAAAAAAAAAAAAAAAAAAAAAAAAAATTGGGTTCTGAAATATAGATATAGTAGATTAGAGCAATTTTATTTGCTACAATTCAATCAAATATTAGCACCAAAAATATATTTAGGTACCAAATTGTGTGCCGAAAACATACACGTCAATTAAAACTCAAACAAAATTTTGGTTTTCATTTGATATAATCCAATGGAATTCCATCCATTTGGTTCAGTTTCGTTTTCTATTATTTAATTGGATAAGTTGCGTTATGGACTCAGATTTCATCGACATCTACATCTAAGCCAATTCAATTAATTCAAGTTCCACTTGACTTGAAGAATTTAAATTTGAAGGAACAATTTCAAAAGACAGCATATAAATTGAATTTTAAATCCAATTTGATAACTCAAAGTAAGTATTACAATTTAAAATCATTATAAGGTAAGTTCTTTCAAGCAATCTCAATACTTTTATTATTATTATTATTATTATTATTATTATTATTATTATTATTATTATTATTATTATTATTATTATTATTATTATTAATAATTCAAAGTTGCCGACCTCAACTTCATCACTCCACAAAGACAATCTCAAATTCTCCCTTGAAGTAATCGCGTGAACTTTCCCCATTTTACCCCTTGTAACCAAACAAACAACAAAACGTGTTTATATTTTTTTTTTCTTTTGCAATTAAAAAAATGTGAATCACATGTTTGTAACGTGCAATTTCTGCCAAGACAACCTCTTAATTTCTGTACGTAGAAGCCAAGGCCACAGCTCTTAGGTATTTTGGCTTCATTACAGGCAAATCAAAAGCCAGATAATAATTGTCAGAAACTAAGCAATCTCATCATGTGCGTATACTAATTTATTTTTACAATATCACAAACAAATTAATTTTATGCAAAATGGCGATATAAAATAGAATAAGATTAATGCAATGTAAGTAAATGTTCATTCATTCATATTCCTATGTTGACAAATTTTACACAAATGAGGCGCATACTATATATCATCCCCAAACAAAGTTGAACAAACATAAAAAATAAAAAAAAAACAAATAAAATGAATTCACACCGACTCACATGAAGCTGCGTGCGAATGAAGAATTTAGCTACTATGTTCGGTTTCTTACACTGACGAAGCTCCAATATTATGCAGATAGATTGATTACCACATCTCTAAACTAAAATCATTCCAAACACAAACCAACCATCATACAGCATTCGATAACTCCAAGCATCTGATTTAGGCTGCAATCGGAGGATCCTGCATTTACATACAAGAGAAATATAGGGGCGGTTATGAAAATCGAAACCAAGCATAAAATTTCTTATAATTGTAGATATCACCTAACAAAAAGTGGTTATTTCATGAGAACACGGCAGCAGTGCATGAATGTGCGCAAGGCATGAAAAAATAAAAAAATACGATGGCAGGCGGTAATTGCCTAAATATCGAGTCTAATGCAGGGGAGAAGTAAAACACGGAGCACGAATAAGTCAAGTGTAATAAGAAACGTAAACATTTTCTACTGTTTTTACATGTGAGTTCTTTACTTGAGACTAATTTGCGATGTTGAATCATAGGGCTCGAGAGAATTTGCACTAGGTTAACAATATTTAGCTTCTCGTGTGAGAGCGTCGATAAAACGAGATAAGCAACGATACCGGCCTAAAGAATTTAAAGGGCAGGGCAAGATGTGCAAATAAAGAACAAACGGTAATCTAGAAACGGAAAAACAATGCTTATAAACCTGGACCAGAAACAGCCCAGATTGCAGATATTACACACCCCAACAAACTTCATGATCATAGAAGATCAATATAAAAAGGCTAAAAGTGAATAGAAATGAACCTTGGCCGTCAAATTGGATAAAGCCATATTCCATTTCTCTCTAGTTTTGGTACCAGCTACTTGCCCAACTTTTGTCACTTTGCTGAAAGCACCATTCAGCCAAGATGTTCCCACTGTCACATACCTGATATAGACACCATTTAAACAATTGTCAACAAATGAATAAATATGTTATCATTCAGCTCTTGTCCAAGTTTATCTCATCTGTTAAGTAAAAAAATCAATTGCATAATGGTCTCTAAATTAGCCACCAAAGCATAAAGTGCAATCCCAAGTTCGAGTTCGAGTTCAAACCCGTAAACAGGTTCTGTATATAGATGGTGCGATGGTATTTTTGATAAATATTAGATCAGTGCAGAAATTAAGAACCTCGCCGAACTCTCTAATAGAACGTAGCAACCTTATACCATATGGGTTCATGTGGGTAATATAGCTATTTATCAAGCGTCATCCTGTTCGTTTTTCGTTTATTGGTACAACACAAAAACAAAACATTTACTCAAAGTAGAGTTTCCAAACCTGCTAGATTTAACAGCTGATCCAGTATCATTTATTTTCCTTTCTGCAGCCATAAGAGCTGACATAGTTTTATCAGATACTTGAAATTTTTGATCCACGGATTTCACTTTCTCATTAACTACTGAAATTCCAACTGTAAGCTTTTCGGTCAGTCCAACTCTCCGGTCAAAGGAAATCACTCTTGCAGAAGCATTGGCTGTCAACTTGTGCTTTTCATCAAATGCTTTGGCCTTATTAACAGCCTCTTGTCCAATAGCTGAACTTTTCGCAAGCATGTTCGACACAACATCTTGGGCTTTACCAACATACACTCTCCCGTTATTGGGACTCATTTTCCCCTGTTGGCAAAGAAAGAGAAATAATTGCGAGGATTAAACAACTAGATTCTAAGTCAAGATATTAGAAAATGAAACTTTGAAACTTATTAAAGATTTCATCATCCATCCAATAGACATGAATATTGAGTAGAAACATACTTCAAAACCTTTGCGTTGATGTTTGATTATTTATACTGTGATGTGCCTATACAACTAGCCTTTTGATCCATTTTTCCATGAATAAGAGAACTCGAAAGCTATTGAATTTGAGACAAGACAATTTAGCATATGATGTTACCTCATCACCTGGGGAAGTATTCTCCTGAGACATACTCATAGCATTATCAACAATCCTTACTTCCTGGATACATCAGTAACACAACATTACTTCAGATGAGTTCATGTAAAAAAAAAAAACATTATCAAAATGTATATAGAACTATTACCTGAATCTCAGGTCGGGGAACATAGTTTTCTGCTGGTGTTATGCTTACAACTTGATCCACTATGGTTGCACCCTGCAATATACACAATCAGCATAAACTTTAACTCGAGAATATCATGAACCTGCAATTGACCCCAAAAAACATGTGGCTTTCCAGAAGCAAACATATGTGACTTTCCAGACGATACCATATGAAGTATTATTTATAAAATTTATCATGCGACAACACTTTGAAGACCAGAAAAATATTCAGAAGTAAAATAGACTCCTAGAAAGGAACAAATAGATGATTGGCAGGATGAAGAGCATATCAAATACATAGGAAACTACAGAACATAAAAAAGGTCCAGTGTGCGTGTGTTAAATGTGATACACAAATAACATCCCCACTCGTTCAGTTCCCAAAAGATGTACGATTATACTATCATTCTACGATGGTGAACAGACTAGGAACAGGCTGATTGCCCTTAACTGTAACTACCGTTGGTGGTTAAGGACTTCCATCCCACCCATGAGTTCAAATTCATGAGATGAAATTAGAAGTTACTTTTCCATTAATTAATGAAAAAAAAGATAGATGCTCTGGGATTTCAGCTTTAGAATCAACTGAATGAAAAAATGAATTTCTTATAAACTGGAACTTTGGTGGTGCATTCTAACCCTATTATTAAGACATGCTTTCTAGATGCCAATGTGTAAAACGTTAAGTCGCCAAACCATCACTATATAAAAGGTTGGGGAGAAATAATTTGCTTACTAACGGACGATGGCAGTAATAGAATTCTTTCTTTTTTTACGACTGCATCTTATGAAAGACACAGCTGCAATACTGCATTAGGATATATACTGAAAGCAAAATAGCATATGTGATACTATTCTCTGTGATTTCCATCCATTTATGTTCACATCAAACATCATATCTGCATGCAACTCTATATATTGGAGTGCTTACAACTTCTCTTTTAAATTGGCAGCCCAGCTAAACAAAAATTTCTTAATAATAACCTTAATTTGGACTTGAAATTCTCAAAAAAAAATATGCTGCTATCGTCAATAGCAAGTGCTACACAGCACAACCAAGATCAAAGTGTAGCTCTTCTGTTTAGCTAGTGAAGCGGCCACATATTTTGCATTTTACAATTAAAGTAAATTACCAAATACGATTCAATAAATCAATTCGCAAAGGGAAAAGGGAATCAACCAAACAATAAAGACTATGAAATAATCCAAGTGGATTTCCTAGAAATGACTACACAATAGAGCACTGTTAAATGGTAAACAACAAGTATCGAGCAGATTACCGATAGCAACAAAGCAATTTCGAGCGCCCTCGGATCTTTAAACGTAACAAACGCGGTCTTAGACTGCCCCGGCTCTCTGCAACCACCAACAACAATACACAGAAAAAATCAAAACAATCAATTCCACTGATAATACCACAAAAAAAAAAGTTTAGAGAGAGAGAGTAGAAAACAACAAAGCTAACCCGAGGATCTCAATCTGTTCAATTTCACCGGAAAACGAAAAGAACTCATGGATTTCTCTCTCCGTCGCTAGATCTGACACTCGCTTCACTTCAACAGTCCGTGTCTGCCGGAAAAATTAAATTCAAACGAAATTAAGAATACAAAAGCTCAATAAATTGAGTACAAAAAGTTCGGTACCGAATTCAAAAAATTCACCTGCATTGTGAGTTTAGCTTTCTCTTCGACTTCCTTCGAGGATTCTTCCTGAATTGATCAAACACAAATAGAAAACGGCGGAATTTTCACACCGCCGTGTACGCGTAGAAACTGCGTCGTATTAGCGTCTGCGGATTTCCTTAGAGAGAGGAGAGAGAGAGAGAGAGAGAGAGAGAGAGAAGAAGAAGAATGTTGATTGTTGAAGTAGAAGTAGAACAACAACAAAGACTTTTCTTTATACCTTTATTTTCTCGGTTTAATTAACTGGCTAATTATTATTTATTTTTTACTGTCACCTTCCTTGAGAGAGAATGAAGATTGCTGTTCTCAGCTGTGTTTTGTTCCTTTTGCCATTCTGGCTTTGCGGTGCGTTTGGTTAGTGCAACTTTTTTTTTTCTTTTTTATTACTATTATAAATTTATAATTGCTTAATATTATCTTTTGTTACATTTTATTTGATTTTCAGTTTTCAATAACATTTGCAAATTTCTCAAACTTTTACCAATAAAAATTGGTGAGCACCAATTTCTAATTATTTATAGGAACACCGTAATCTAAATCTTAAATTAGAAATAATATAGTTAACTTATGAAAAAATTATAATTGAATATAAAATTTTTACAGTTAACATTCGAAAAAATTATAATTAACTAACCAATTTTTATAGTTGACCATCATTTTTTTTTATAGCTGACATTAAAAATTTGCGCCTCTTGTTGCGGTTTTGCTTCTCGAATGCGTAACCCTAAATCCGTTGATCGGAATTCGACGATTCAAACACAGTTGGATTTCTCTCGTCGGGATATTTCTTTTCACTGTGGTCTTAGACAATTCTTATTTCTGATTTTGATTCCGTAAAACTCTTGAAAAAAGGATGATAGTTGGAATCATATGGACAAAAAACAAAAACAATCTTTTCATGTAATCAAAGTCAATAAACATATTTATGAGTTGATTTAATGATTTTTTTTTTTTTGTGATAATTCATAATAGTGGGAGTGGCGGACAGAGAAGGGCATCTAATTGGAAAGAAGAAAAATAAGACGAAGATAACGATAAAGATGACGTGGGGCTATCCAAGCATAAATACTCTCCTGCTACTTCACTTTCTTGCAACCGTTTTCTTGTGTCATACTTTTATGACCATTTTGCCCCTCTTCAAATTGAATTTAAATTATGTTTATATGTTTCCTTTAATAAGATTAGTTTATCGATGACGAAAATGAAGAATTTGGATGGAGGGATTTGGGGGAGGGATTTCAAATCCATAATAACAAATCCCTCGGACTTGTTTGGATTGAGGGATTTGGAGATGGATTTCAAATCCCCACCCCTCCTTTTTAGTTGATTTTGGAGCAATAGTGATGGATTTCAAATGACTCCAAAATTGGAGTCATTTCAAATCCATTCCCCAAATCAAATCCCTCCATCCAAATGGACCCTAAAAGTTTCTTCTTGAGATGTAAAAAACACTTACGTTAGCAATATAATTTATTCCATGATATCAAATTACTAATATGTCAGTATATAAGGCTCGCTTGATAAGTTTGATTAGCTCTGATATATTAATAATTTAAATTAAAATTTGGTTGTTTGCAATGTTGAGATCCATGATTTCTTTCTTGTTGGCTTAGGCCTCATTTGGTTGGCGAGATTGCTGACAATTAACTAAATAATTGAATTTTGTTTAATGTTTGGTATCCCAAATAACTTGACGAGTTGACCAACAATTATTATATTATCATAGTTTATCTTGTCTTCTAAGCATGTTTTGTATTGGATAATCAAATGTCCAATAATATAATGAAGTTTCATCAGATTATGACAACCAAATGACGCCTTACAATATGATTTAATAATCCATTTTGATAAGGAATTTAACCAAAACAAAAAAGGACTTGATGTGTTATCATCTACAACAATGTTTCGTCTCTCTCACATTGCAAATGGAATGACAAAATGTAACCTTCCAATGATAAAATCATATGATACGTAATGAAATCAAATCATACGTAAATGTAATCATATCTTCTGCTGTGAAATAAGTCCTTAACTAATCGCGTTTTTCTAGTGTTTTCATTTTCATTACCACCTCTTACTTCGATAATACGGACATACGAACAAAAACTGGAACAAGGAAACTTGTCACTTCCAAATCCTCCAATTCGGATGAAGTCGTAACTATTTCAAGTATATATCTTATTGCGAGTTATTTTACAAAAAAAAAAAAAAAAAAAAAAAAACATAGCACTTTAAATAAAAAAAATATATATTAGCCCCTTAATAAAATATATATTAGTTGATTTATTTGGGCGATTTTTTTTGTTTTGTTTAGTCATCTTGTACAATCTACAATGTACATTGTACCAATTAATTAATAAAGAAATAAATTAAAATAAATAAGAGAGATGTATGTACCTTGTGAGAGAATGAATGGGAGTAATTAGACTGGATATGGCAAAGAATAGAGTATCATATCTCATAGCACGCCAATGCTTTTTTTTATGGTCAATGTTTGGATATTATAATAATATTTGTGAATTGTGACTGCAACATTACTTGGACTAGGCCCCCCCATATTGGCCCCCCATGTTTAATGCCTTGTCAATTTTTTAGTTTTAATTACTACTTTAATATGGGTTAATACATTTGTTTAACTTTTTCTTTTCAACGTGTTTGGCTGGGTTTATAAGCTGTTAAAAAAAGTTTATAAGATGTTATTTTATAATTAAAAAAAATCTAAAAAAAATAAGCTGCTCGAAAGCAGATAAAATATTTTTAAAAAAAATATATATACTCTACTTTTTTATTTAAAATCTTATAATGAATAAAAGAACTTATAAAATCATTACCGAAATACTTTAAAAATTAATTGAAAAACTAAGACATCACAACTTATCAACTCTTAAAACAGTGAAATGTAAAAGTTAAAAATATGTTTAGCCAAACGAGTCCTAAATATCATCAGACAAAACATATTTTGTAAGACAATTGCCCACATGTTGAACAGCTAGCCTCTTATCTTTTTTTTTGGGCCACAACCATATTGTGGGGATATATATAATACGGGCCTAACATCAGGCCCATTTTCATAACGGCGCCAAAAATATTTAAAAAAAAATCTGCTGAAATTCACTCGGATATTCAAAGGTGACACGTGTTAGGACTAAGACGTTTTAATGTTATTAAATTAAAGGGTTTATTAGGGATAACCCCCTTGTTCATATTTTCTAATGAGGTAGATCCAATTTTTTTTCCCCTTTTTGAGATAGACCCAATTTTGCCAACTTGGCAAAATATATTATATAATTTGCCTTTAATACCCCTGTTTTATTTTTAAACGGCATTTATTTCCTTTACTACGTGATTTGAGATTTGCTGATAAGTTGCCTAAAATCACGGAATAAAATTACGTGAGATCATTTGCCGTTATATCAAATCGTGTACAATATTTTTCGAAGGTTCTCTTCAGCGTTCCAGCGGTTTTTTATCGTCTTTGAAGATTTCTGCACCGTCGTTGAAATAGGATCGAATTTGAGCGTTCGTTGTTGGACGTTGTTAACCGGGTATGAATGCGTTATTCGTTTTTATTTTTCGCTCAATGTCTAGGATTGTCGATTACGGTGGTTAGAAATCGTTATTTTTTGGCGGATGATGTTTGTTTGGAAGAGGATTGACAGAGTTAGATGAGGATGGTTCACGCATATCGGACCAGAGTTGTTTTATATGAACATCGTAGTTGGTTTACGCATTAATTGAAATAACTGTCTGTTGTCGTGGAGTTCATGAGTCTGATCCCGGTCGATAGTTGGATTATTTGTTTATAACAGCCGATTTAAGTGTGCTGGGTAGTACATTAAAATATAGTTCGTAGTTTTTTTTAAATTAGCATATGGATTTTGCATTTTAAGTTTATTTTTGATGATATTAATGTATTGTCATTCAAATGTATTTGCAGTCTATTTAATCATTTTTTAGTATTCTGCATTTTTTGTTTTGTTTCATGATTTTAGGTTTTTTCGATGGCGAACTTCGTACGGATTTTGTTGAGGTTTGGTGGGTTGGTTGCTATAAAGAGGTGTTTACGATGTAATGGCTCGGTAACTTCGGTTAAGTTTTAAATCGTTGTAATACAGTAGTATACTATTATGAATACCGTATGATACTACCGTATAATCATTTTTTAGTATTCTGCATTTTTTGTTTTGTTTCATGATTTTAGGTTTTTTCGATGGCGAACTTCGTACGGATTTTGTTGAGGTTTGGTGGGTTGGTTGCTATAAAGAGGTGTTTACGATGTAATGGCTCGGTAACTTCGGTTAAGTTTTAAATCGTTGTAATACAGTAGTATACTATTATGAATACCGTATGATACTACCATTATCATTTTATTATACTATTATGAGATTATTAATGTACTAGAGTTTTTTAACTCGACACATTGGTTTGATTGTGTTATGATGTGTTTTATGTATTTTATCAAAACCCTAGATTGAAATTATGAGATTATTAATGTACTATTTTATTGGTTATGTTGGAATACTTTACGTTGGTGTTGTTCTCAATGTTCTTGTCATTTCAGTGGTATATTGTTTGTAACACAATTCATATCACTACTATAACCGTAATATACTATCATAGCAGATTAATGTACTATATTGAAATTATTAATATACTATGTGGTTGAATAATACGGGATCCATAGTAAATAAACGAGATCCATAGTCGAATTAGATCAATAAGATAGTCTATTACATGATATAAGGAAAATTACCCTAATTGATTAGTATTTCAAGCAAACATATTATTCAGTTTCCATATATATTATTATTTTTTCATATATATTATTATTTACCTTAATCGTTTTCATATAATAAGGAAAATTACCCTAATTGATTAGTATTTCAAACAAACATATTATTCAGTTTCCATATATATTATTATTTTTCCAATAGTCAATTAACTAAATCCATAGTCGAATTAGATACATGGGATAGTCTATTAAAAGATATGAGATAGTCTATTAATTTTAAAACACAAATCCGCCGCCGTCACTTCTCAAATTTAGGGTTTTGATGATTCTTCGGCCCATAGTCGATTAACGAGATCCATAGTAAAATTATACCAGTGGGATAGTCTATTAAATGATATGGGATAGTATATTAATACAGATGTAATTCGACTATGCATCTCGTTAATCAACTATGGGCCGAAGAATTATCAAAACCCTAGATTTGAGTAATCCTAGATTTGAGTAACCCTAGATTGGAGCAGTGACGGCGACGGCGACGGCGGCGGCCAACGACGATAACACTTCTGGTGGATGTTTTGCCCATCAATTGTTGCAATATCACTGATTTAGTGCTCGAATTCGGTATGCGATTATAATAGATCTGCAATTACACAAACGTAATAGTCGATTTAGCCAAAACATATCAACAAATCGATGGATGATAGCGATTCAGCGAGTGGCGACGACGTACCTACGACAGCTTGCTCGGAGTGCACGAAAATCGTCGTTTCACGGCAGTGCAGACGTCTTCCCCTTTCAATCGGCCGTACCGGGAAGTTGTTTCTAAGAGGTTTTGCAGTTTATTCGATAGTGGGTTTGGGATGATAGTGATTTAACGGGAAAATAAGAAGGGATTTGATTTTATTTCAAAAGGTAAAATAACGGGTTTTGTGGGATTTGATTGAGGGTAATTATGTAATTAGGAAAAGTTTGGGCTGTTATCAAAATGGCAAATATAAATTTGGGTCTACCCCTATTATTTGAATGTTTAAGGGGGTTATATCTAATAGACCCTAAATTAAAAAATATATAGTCAGTTGAGTGTCTGATCTGGAAAAGCTTTTCAGTGTACAGAGCCAATAAATAATTTAGCGTGTTGCTTTTGTCATTTCAATTTATCTTTCCAGATTGTGGCAGTCAAGTGTGACACAACACATCTCTTCTGTTGATTTCATACTGAAAAAGTAAATTAAAGTACAGAATTTCAATGATATTAAATTAAACCATCCTTTCTGCAAAGTACACCTGTAGTTATAACTTGCAAGGGTAAATTACGTTACTTGACAAAGTACGAAAAAAAATATATGCTGTTTAGGTAATTATAACTACCACTTCAATTATGATTTTTCTTACAGGTTTATTTTAATAGTGTTAAATTTAACATAATCTTCTAAATTACATGAATTGTTCTCTAATTTATACTTGTTTTGTGCAAAAATGCAGTTTTTGATGCACCACAATCTGATATTTACAAGCCAAGAGATACATCTTATGATCATCTTATTTCAAAATGTGGAGTTCGAATGGGGTAAATCGAGTACAAACTAGATAATATTCCACGTAATTTGGAAGCAACTGTTGAATTTGACACAATAAGGGTGGACGTGTAAGAAAATTCATAGTTGAAGGGTGATTGTAATTACCCAAACATAATGAGTTTTTTTTTTTTCTTCATAATTTGACCTTATCTCAGGGTGACCGTAATTTACCTGAAATATAAATGAATCAAAACAAAATAAATTCCATCATCTTGTGCTATTGAACTTTTAAATAACTAAAAGTGAGCTCATGGACTCGATTACGAATCCTAACATTTCGATCAATTTTGAGTTCTAACTTCCCTCCGATCATTTCACTAGATTCATTAATCGGCTCAGGTCATTTCATTTACAGTTAATCCTAAAAAAATATTCATAATTTTTTTCTGTTGAACTAGTAAAAATAAAATAACCAATTGTTTTTCTTCTTTCTTGAAAGTGGGTAAAAGGGCTCATTGCCTACAAGGAAAGCCATGAAAGCTTTGCACAAAAACTCCAAATTTTGTACAATTG